GTACATTCATATATTTAGCATGGCCTCCTAACCTGACATAGTCTCCCCAGTGATATTAAAACATCTTTCTTGGGCTGTATCTCTCTTCTTCCATTTATAAAAACAGCATTATGATGTTTTTTGCTCCATCAGCAGCCTAGATTCCCTCTTTCTTTCTAAAAGAAATGCTTGGATGTCACTGCTTCTTCCTTGGACATACTTATTCCTTGAGCAGCCTGTCTCTGCTCTTTTCGGTTCTAAAATGGTCCACTCCCATTGCTGCTAAGCGCATTTCTTGAGTTAGGCCCCGTTCACACGAGGGAATTTGGCCCAGAAGCAGGACGGTTTGGGGGCGGTTCAAACTGCCGCGATCACACCACAACATCTGGGAAGCGTGGTGCTTCCGTCCCCAAACCGGCCCATCCATGGGATAAGGCGCATCAAGTTGGAACCACCTACCGAGGTGGTTCATCGCCTTGGTGCGCCTCAACCCGGGAGTCTGATCGCCGGCGCGTCCTTGCACCGGCGCTTCCTGGGCTCCTAGCCAAACTGTGCATGCTCTGACATGCGCAGTTCGGCTGGCCGGCCGTCAGCTCTGTGTTTTCTCCCCGGCGTCTGATCGTGCTGGGGAGAAAACGCGGCGCGGCCGTGGGATCCCGCCGCGCCGTGTCAACTTTGACGCGGCTTTGAACAGCCACGGTTTGTGCCGCTTTTTCCCCTGCGTGTGGCAGGGGCCTATGTCTAAGAGATGCTGATGGGTATTTGAATGACCATGCCTGTTCTGGTGTCTCTTGGCTTCTCAGCTGTAGCAGTTGTTTCAGCTGCACTTCTACTCAAAGTAGCAGTGTTTGACTCTATACCCCAAAGGGCGTACTTTAACTTAAAATATTCACAATTTCCTTTGTGAAGAATAGATCCCATGTCCCTGTTTTTGATTATCTTTTCTTTTCCATTATTCTACTTTAAGGATAAGTCACAAGTAATAATATAGTGGACCTTCTGCACACTTTGTATGATTTTCCTTTCGAAGTCTGGTCTCCAGTTCCTCATGAGTGGAAGCCAAAGGATTTCATATTGGACAAACAGAAAATAAAATGCTTTCTGCCTTATGTTTTTCTCACTTTTTTCCATCTGGAAGTTGATGCTCTTCGATTTGGTTTTCTGTACCAGTTCACTTTATGGGTCTTTGTTGAACATGCAGTGTACGTTCAGTATGACTCACTGCATTGTTGTGCATTTATAGCAAATACTTCTGTAATATACTGCTTCATGGTTTAAAGTTTGCATTTCTATCGCAGTTGTCTTCCAAAAACCCCTTCTGCATCCTGGTCTAGCAATTATTTAGGTGCAAGAGTTTGTGAAGGCAAGGGGTTCTTCTTCCTGAAGAAGCTTCCCATTCATTTTTATGGAGGAATGTGATTAGCCTCCATAAAGGAAGGCACATGTAGATGGGGAAGTCTGGGTTGGATCCTACCCATCTGCTCTGTTGGCACGGGCATATTCCTGAGCCACCCTCCTTCAGTGTTGGATGCTGTTCTGTTGAGCCACCTTCCCCAACGTTGGTGCTGTTCTGTTAACTAAAGAAGTTCTTGCAGTAGCAGAGTACTCTTTGCACTGGAGGAAAAAGCTGTCATTCTTTGAGCTGAGTGGAATGATAGGTTCCAGCCCTTTGTGCGTGTCTTCTCTTAGCCCTTGCAGGCTGGAATGCCTCATTTGTTTTTTTGCTCAAGAACCAAGCAGTACCTTAAAAGCAGTCTCTTTCAGTGGGCCTTTTCCCACCAAACTATTTCTTTACCACATTCATACAGTTCTTCAGGGCTTTAATTGTTAATCTGAACTTTCTCTTATCACTGCAGCATTTTTCTTTGTTTCCTTCTGTTCTTGAGTTTAAATATCATTATTATGCCTGCTGATATCGTTAAATCCTGCTATTAATCCAATGTCTCGTTCTTGTACATTCTACACACTGTCACCATTCAAGAGATTTTCCTGTCTTGAATGCTAGGCAGCACTATATGTTGACTGGTCTGTCTTCTGCTTTTGAGACCAATAACTAAATGGTGCTAAGCTCAATTTCCCGTATGTTGTCTTAGAAAACTAACACTCCTTTATAAGAAATACTATTTATTATTTCCCCTTCCATTTCCCCCCCCCCAAAAAAAAAAAACTTACTCAGGATACACTTTGCACAGAATCAAGATTTTCCACATGTAATTCGTGTCTTGGGAGAAAAAACAAAGAGGGGCATTATGGCAAAACAGCTTATCTTAAAGACTAAAACGTTATCTTTTAGCTTTTAAGATGCCACAAGGTTTCATTTTGTTATTTAGGCAAAGGAGTAATGCAGCTGCTACTCTGGAATTTGTGTTCTCTTGCTGCTTCTTTTCCAGAGCAAAAGTGTGAGATCAAAAAAATTGGTGTGAGTGCTTTAGTGGTAGGTAAGAGCTGAATTCAAGAACAAAGAAATCCGTGGCAGAATATGCTGCTAGCATGATGAGTAGAATAGTAACTGAGAGATTTGCATTGTGAACTAACCATATTTTTCCAGGATAATTTCTGAGTTAATAATAATTAATATAGTTAATATGAGCAGGAAACTTTCTCATAATGGTTAGCCCTTCATTTGACCACCAAAATGGCAAAGTGAAGAATTATGCTGAACGATCCTATCTCGTAGACATGGAATACTATGCAAAGTGACTTCTGGTTCTCTGCTTTATTCTCTGTGAAGAAGAATTTATGGGGAAATTTTTTAAGATTCAAGGTGTCTGTTGATGAGAGGGTTGATATTAAATGTTACTGAAGTCTCCGCAGGGAGGTGGCTGAAAATCAGTTCAGGGGTAGCATATTATGTACTTGGTGAGATTTTTAGATGTTATGTGCCCATGTTCACCTGGTTATGTGCAGAATATCCACAGCAGCCATGTGGCTGCGCACACACTTTCAAATAGTGTAGAGTCCCATCATAAGGAAGAGAGTTTGGGACGCTTCCTTATGGGAATTGCAGTATTTTAAACTGGCTCTTCCTTTACTCAGCCTGACCAGGATCTGTGTCTGTGGTTTAGAAGGAGAACCTATACCCGCCAGTGTGAAAGGTGAAGCTCTATCTGCTTAACCTTTTCCCTGCTGTGTAGTAATTGAAGAAAACATTTGGTCAAGAGTTAGTAGCCCTATGAGCAAAGGGATTCATGACTCTGCATATGATCATGGCTTTATGAGATTAATTTGGGAGGACTTTGAGTTACTAGTACTCTGTATGGATGCCTTGAAATTGCCTGCTGGATACGTCCCTGTCATTTAGAGGTGTTGCCTGTAGTTCATTCGACCCACCTAATCTGATTCTATGAAAATATAATGCTTGTCTTGCTTTTGACCATTTTTGCCAGATGAAGCACTCAAAGGAGTTGTATTTACATTTAACCAGGGCATCTTACTTCCATTG